ACCTATAGGTTTCTCCAGTTCAGAATCCATTTAATGAAGATGATCCATCAGTTCCTCCTCCTAGAAGTGACTCTTTGGGATTGCCCTTCACTTGGTCAGAGGTGGGAGAAGGACATCTCTCAGGAGGGAAGACCCAGGACAACCTGACAACTCCCTCCAAAGAAATCCCAACTCCCTCATCATCTTACATATAGGCTCAAAGTGGGAGCCAGCTAACAGGAGAAGGACCAGCTTTGTTCAGTGTTTTCCTGTGGATACGCCCAGCATCTTTATTTAGAATACGAGAGTTCTTGTCACCTTCTGGGCCTCAAGACAGGAAAGTGCTGTCTAAGACTTGCTGTCAAAGAAATACTTTATGAATTCTATTATTCCTCATTGCTAATTTAATTCTTCTAAGAATGGTAGCCTAGGTTTCAAGGGGAAGGGCGAGTAGGGCACAAGGGCTTGGACAAATGTTCGAGAAATCTCTCCTCTTTCTAAGAAGTCTCCTTCATGGAGGATCCCAAACTATACAACACTGGTTTCCAAAGTCTTACTGTATTTGCCTCCAAACTGCTTAACTTCCTGTTAAGAATGACATCTGGCTTGCAGCCCAAGAAGCAAGCTCTACCAGTCTTCCACTAAAACACCTAGGAAGTAGGAGAAAAAGTTAACTTACCACCATTTCAAAATTGGAAGTGGCTAACAATTCGTTGCTAAAATCTAGGAGGAATTTCTATTATCTGCAAGGAAGATGGAAAATGCTAGCAAATGAATCAAGCCATCCTCCTCAAACTGGGAGAAAAAAGATTCCTGCTCCTCCCATTGTCTGCTTTCTCTCTTCATAAATTTGAACCAAGTTGGAAGCTGGGAGACCCCTCTACTGTTTTCTAAGGTAGCCAGGGTTCTGCTCACACCAGCTCTCTTCTGTGTGATTGGACAGAGCAATTCTCAGGAAAACAAAGGGGACATGACCAGGACAGAAACTGGCAGTGGGACACTGTATCAAAGTGTGACTCCAAAAGGAGATGCAGATGGGGACACAAGAAGAACCTGGTAGTACTGCTTACGGGCAATTGTATGTTTTAATGCACCATGATGCTGAGAGTTTCAGAGAACAAAGCTGTGAAGGCAGGAGACAGTGTGACCAGCAGCCTAGTACTTGCCAGGTGCTGGGAATCTAGTTACAAGCTGAAGGCACAAACCTGCCCTCACATTGCAGATCTGAAGAGGAGATTAATCCAGCCACCAGAAAACAAGTCATCAAAGGGACCAAAAGAAAAAAAAATAATGGTCAAAGTTTGGATGTCAAATGGAGATAAAAACAATATTTTAAATTACAGAATTAATAAAGGTAGTGTTAGTAAGTGACCAGATAAAATATAAATATGCCAAAATTATTTATGCTCCTATATACTAGCAGAAACTGGTTAAAAAATATAATAGGAAAAAGAAAGACCCCATTTATAAGAGAAGGCAATAAGTAGAAAATATCTAAAAGTGATGCTAATAAGAAATGTGTCATAGAAACCCATTTGATGAAAACTATAAAGCTTTCGACTAAAGTACAACTAAAATTGAAAAAGTGAGAATTCTCCCCAAAATTATGCATTAGTACAATTTTAGTTCAGCAGACATTACAATGGGCTTTTAAAATTGTGAAAACAATTATTTTGAAGTTCATCTTGAAGAATAAGCAGAAAAAAATAAAAGTGATGGGAGATTTTATAACTATGAAAGCCAATTATAAAGTCATGATGGTTATGAGTGTAGCGCCGATACAAATCACAAAGACAGTAATAGAACAAAATGGTCATTAAATTGGCTCTAATATATATGCTTATAAGAACTTAAAGGAAGCGACAGAAAGGTCAAGAGATGAATTATCCCACAAATGGAAAATGGCTATTTTAAAAAACATATATGTGGGCTGGCTGTGTGGCTGAGTGGTTAAAGTTCTGTGCACTCTGCTTTGGTGGCCTGGGTTTGCTATTTTGGATCCTGGGTGTTGACCTACATCACTCATCAGCCACACTGTGATGGTGTCCCACATACAAGATAGAGGAAGACTGGCACAGATGTTAGCGCAGGGCGAATCTTCCTTACCAAAAAAAAAAAAAAAGTATATGTGATCATATATATGCATTTATGTAAAATTATAATCACGTATGTATCTTTAGAATTTAAAACATAAAACAAATACTAGGCACTAGGAGGGAAAGGGAAATAGGTTATTTGGGGGGAAAAACCTTACAGGGTAACCATATACCAAACTCCAAAATTTACTCCAGATATTTAAAAGTTAAATCATTTAGCAAACTAGAATAAAACAGAGGTTAATATTTAAACAGATCTCAGGCTGAATGAGGACTTTCGAAGCATAAAAGCAATGAACCAAATCCCAGAGTATAAGTCACATACATGGTCAATTGATTTTCATCAAAGGTGCCCATGTAATTTGTACTGGGTTGCATGCACGTCCACCCAGGACCTCAGAATGTGACCTTATTTAGAAATAGTCTTTGCAGATGTAATTAGTTAAGATGAAGTCATATGGGAGTAGGGTGGCTTCTAAATCCAAGATGACTGGTGTCCTTATAAGAAGAGAAAACAGAGAGACACACACAGAGGAAAGACTGTCATGTAAAGATGGAAGCAGAAATTGGAGAGATGCAGCTCTGAGCCAAGGAACACCATGAGATGCCAGCAACCATCAGAAGCTAAGCAGAGGAAGCAAGGACCCACCTCTACAGTCTCCAGAGAGAGCGTGGCCCTGCCAACACCTTGGTTTTGGACTTCTAGCTTCTAGAACTATAAGGGAATAAATTTCTGTTGCTTTAAGCCACCCGGTTTGTGATAATTTGTTACGGCAGCTACAGGAAGCTAATACATACTTCAATGGGGAAAAGGAAAACTTTTCAACAAATGGGGCTAGAAATATCAGATAACCACAAGCAAAAGTAAATAAAACTTTATCCTTCACACTATCTACAGAATTTAAGTCAAGGTGGGTCATATTCTGTAATACATTTAGAATAAAACCTAGATGAAAGCCAGCCCTGATTGCTAGTAGTTTCAGTTCCACACTCTTCGCTTCGGCGGCCCAGGTTCACTTCCCAGTCATGGAACCACACCACCCCGCTGTCAGTTGCCATGCTGTGGTGGTGGCTCACATAGAAGAACTAGAACGACTTACAACCAGGATGTACAACCATACACTGGGGCTTTGGGGAGAAGGAAAAAAAAGAGGAAGCTTGGCAACGGATGTTAGCTCAGGGTGAACCCTTCCATGCAAAAAACAAAAAACCACATAAGGTGAAAATCTTAGCTACCTTGGGTTTGGAAAAGACTTCTAAAATAGGACACCAAAAGCACAGAGCATAAAGAAGAAATTAATAGATTTGACTTCATCAAAATTTTAAACTTGTACTCTTAAAAAACAGGTTACAGAATAAAAGGAAAGCCACACACTGGGAGAAAATATTTGCGAAGCATATAGATGACAGAGGGATTTTATCTAAATATATAAGAACTCTCAAAATTGAATAATAAGATAAACAAAAAATGGACAAATAATTTTTAACAGACACTTCGTCAAAGAAGATGTAAGAATGGCAAAGAGTACATGAAAAGATGCTCATCATCATTAATTATTAGGAAAAAAAAATTTTAACCACAATGCGATACAGCCACATACCTGCTAGAATTGCTCGAATTTAAAACGCTGACTATACTGAGTGTTGGTAATAATGTGGAACAACTGGAACTTGCCTTCACTGCTGGTGGGAGTGTAAAATGCTACAATCACTTTGGAAAACAATTTGGCAGTTTCTTAAAAAGTTAAACCTATACCCACCATATGACCCAGTCATTCCACAAATAGGTATTGTCTTAAGAGAAATGAAAGCATACCTTCACACAAAGTCTTGACCAGGAATGTTCATAGCAGCTTTATTTGTAATACCCAAGAACAGAAAACAACCCAAACGTCCATCAGTGTTTGAAAAGATAAGCAAAGTGTGGTCTAGCCATGCAATGAAATACTACTCGGCAATAAAAAGGAAATATTGATACATGCAACAGCATGGATGAATTTCAAAATAATCATGCCAAATGAAGGAAGCCAGAGCCAAAAGGACATACTGTATAATTCCATTCATATAAAATTCTAGATAGTGCAAAGTAATATATAGTGACAGAAAGCAGATCAGCGGTTACAGGGGACAGGGAGAGGGTGATAGAGGAATTGCGACGGATGCAAGGAAACTTCTAGGAGTGAAGGATATGTTCACTATCTTGATTGTGGCAATGATTTAATGACTGTATGCATGTGTCAAAGCCAGCAAAAATTTACACTTTAAATATGTGCAGTTTACTGTACATTAATTATACCTCAATAACCCCATAAAGAAGAACTGAATCACGAAAAAAAAGGTAAAGGGCAAACAATAAGGGGAAATATTTATAATAACAATGATTCTAATAGTTAATGTACCAAACATACAAAGTGGTCTTACAAATCAATAAGAATGCATAAACAAATTAAAATATAGTCAAAGTGTAGAAAGAAAAAGCCATTCACGATTGACAAATATGTACATTTTCAATAATTACACTAATAAAAATATTATTTAAAACGATGATTTGCCTGCCAATTCTCATTTACAAAAATGACATTGCTTTTCAATTATAATAATTAATGCTGGTATTGATGAAGTGAGATGGGTGTTCATATTTTAGGAATGGTAATATAACGAAAAATTTTTCAGAGAAGCCATTTTCCAATATTAAAACCTTCATTTCTCTAGGTATTGTGACCTGAAGTAGTTTTAATTTTCTCCTTTATAATTTCCTCTGTTTGCATTTTCAACAGCAACTATATATATTGTGTGTGTGTGTGTGAGGAAGTATGTGTGCTGTGTTGTGTGTGTACGTTGGCCCTGAGCTAACAGCTGTGCCCGTCTTCCTCTGTTTTACGTGGGATGCTGCCACAGCGTGGCTTGACGAGCAGTGTGTAGGTCCACGCCCTGGATCCGAACCTGTGAACCCCGGGCTGCCAAAGTGGAGCGCGTCAGCGAACCCAACCACTAGGCCACTGCGCCAGCCTCCAGCAACTATACATTTTTTAATCAGAGAAAATATTCTTAAAAAAGAAAATATTTGAAGTAGCTTCATTTTGCAAATATACACACACAAAGAGTAGGTTACACCTCTAGGTCTCCCCTGCTATTGACTGCTGCTTTCCCGCAGTGAGAGAAGAGGACATGGCTCATTGTCACCATGGGATCCGCTTCCACATGGCTCATAGGATGGACACCGTGATGACCACAGTGCCCCATCAGCATCTCCCAGCCACAGGATTCCAGCTTATTCTCTCACATATGCCTCCACCTCTTCCCAACACCACTCAGACTCTTGTCAGGAGTCTTAAGTCTCTGAGGAAATTAATACTAGCTTCTCAAGAAAGAAAAAAAAAAATCTCTAAGGCTCTCTATGTTATAGATAAGTTCCAGGATGGAAAGAAAGTCATGCTCTCTCCTCTCGTGGGCAGGTAACCCAAACTTAAAGGGCAGAATATAACTAACATCATGCAGAAAGAGGAACACAGTGGAATGAATGGAAGGAAGGTGACATGCAGTGGAACCTCAGCAGGTCACAGAAGTCCCCAGACTCCAGCCCACCATGATCCAACTTCTAACCATTGCCCTCTCTTTCTTCTATACCATGAGGACTCGTTTGCTTTCAGAGTAATCTGAGTTTTGGATGGCGATCTATTTATCCCCAAGTAAACTAATAAAGAAATTTTAGTCCCCAGAAGCCAAACCATATTGCAGAGGGAGATTGTCCAGCCTACAAATATTGACACCAAACAGTGACATGTCAGTGGGTCAAGCCACAGAACAGCTGCAACAACACAGAAAGGCATGCAATGTCCTTTTGGGCTCAGGGCTCACACACTGATCCAATCAGAGGATTGTCAGTTGTCCTAAATACTCATTAAATCACAAGTAAAGAGTGTTTACTTTCATGGTCTGACACCTCAATGACAGTGTTGAATCACTTTTAAGATTAGCACTGAAGCCAGAATGATTACCATTCACGGCGCATGCTGATCTTAACCACTTCAAATTGGCCACCCCCGGCTACCTCCAGTCAAGCGGCAGAACAGACGAAAATGGTCACAGCCAGGATCCCAGTCTTCGCCTTTGTTCTTAAGAGAAACACCCAACAATGATGAAACATCGATTTTGTCAAGGCAAACTCTTTCCTTGACCACAGAAATGTATTAAAAATTAATCATGAGTACAGGTGAAAACCTGGACATTTCCCCAAGTAGCACAAAAGATATAGTGACATAAATTTCAAAATTGTTGGATTCCAAAAGGAGCACTAGGGTCGAGTTCTGGCTCTGCCACTAACTTCTTTGAGTACCTCATTCACCTCTTTAAGCCAATTTTCTCACTGGTAAAGTGAATGGGTTGAAGCAGATGATGTCTAAAAGCCTTATATCTAACCACCTGGGGAGAATTCTAATACAAGATGGCATCTGGTCAATGAAGGCATGAGATTGAGAGGCTGGAGTCTAGCCTTGGGCCATAAAAGTCATCCATGGTCTCTTTGTTCCAGACAGTGTCCAGTCTTTCCTTCCTTGGGGCAATATGCCTCATGAGTCCCCCTTGGAGGTAGAGGCTATGTGGAGTCATGATTTAAGAGGACATAAAAATATATTGGTTAAACATTTGGGAATATTATCCCCCTTATATTGACTTATATGCTTGCTTATGGATTCCTTACCCATGGTGAGCTAAATACATATTTGGTGAGTGAATGAATGAACTGAAAATTCTGTGGACAATGTTTCAATATAGCTAATTTGACTGTTCTTGTCTACTTGGACATCAGCAGAAACCAATAAACGAAAGAACAGATATTGAAAAGTGAGAAGAGATCTTTAGTAAGCATTGCTATGATGCATATGGGACAATGGACAGGATAACATGTAAGAGATATCCACATCGTTCTGGGTCCTGGGATTAAGACCTCTGCCATATGAATCAACTATTTTTGTTTCATGAAACCAGCCCCTATTAATGGATAGTTTTGCTGGCTATCTGGCGCTTCAAATGTTTAACCAATTCCTCCACCCCACCCATCCCAGCAAATATTTACATCGATTTGAGATATGGGTGAATATTCATATTGGAACTGAGGAGTGAAGAAGGAACTTTGGTACCACTGAACAGAAGGAAGGTCAGAGGATGAGGGTAGCACGACCTCTGCTCCCCATCAGTGTGATGTACTAGTTAGGAGCTGGGATCCAAAGCACTGAGCTGGTTTGGATTCTTGCTCTATCATTTCTTAGCTGGGTAACCTTGGGAAAGGTACACTATCTGGGCTTCAGCGTCATCATATGTAAAATGGATTCTAATAATTTCCACTCCATAGGGTCGCTGCAAGGATTAAATGATATCACCATTGCTTGCCAGTTTAAAGAGTGCCGGGCATGCAGTAAGAGGTCAATAAATGTCTGCTGTTGCTACGATCTGGCCTCTTGGATTGAGTTTGAACTCGTATGATTAGGAAGGGGAGAGCTAGAAAAGGTTATCAGAAGAGACTTAAAGAGAGTCTGGGTGAGGGGTATGGGCTGGAAACCGACCCAACTATTCAAGAAAAACTTTGTAAAACGCTAGACACAGATGCACCCAGAAGATAAATGGTGTCTGAGTGGGAGGCAGCCATTCTCCCCATGTCTGTAGAGAAACTAATCTCCCTGCTATGGTACTTTGAGAACTGGAAGCTTAGGAGGCATCCAGAGATAAAGGTCTTAGTATTAGTAGTGTGCACTTGTTGAGCACTAACTGCAAGTCAGGCCTGATTTCAGTTATGTGGACTGACATCTTGGCAGGGACATTGGCCTTCCCATAAAGGTCAAGAGCAGGGATGAGGCTGCTGCAAGCAGCTCTGAGGTTAGCATGGCATGCGGGAGCAAGGAGTGATTGACAGGCTTGTAAGAGCATGTGAGGCATCTCTTTGGGGAGTGGTACCAAAAACAAGTGACCTGTGCTTACTAAGCTGGGGCTGGTGAGTGCCATGCTGTTTGGATCACTCATCCAAATGGATAAAAGAGTGGACTTATCTTCACGGCTGTAGCATTTGCCACCACACGGGCCACATGCAATTTCTCAAAGGGAACCTGGGATTGTCGTAACCGCATGAAGTCTTCACCCACATTCCACTCTTAACGCCACCTCTGCATTTCTCTTTGGCTTATACTTCTTAATTACTTATATTTGTTTAGCAAATATATAGATACAGATACAGTGCTGGCTGTGTACCAGGTAATTTTAAATGTTTTATGAACGTTAACCTATTTAATCTTTACGAATGGTCCAAGGGGTAGGTGGTACTATTCCAACCCTCATTTTACAGATGAGGAAAGTGAGGTGAAGAGGTTACGCAGAGGTTCCCTACGGGCTACACAAAAGAGAAGAGACACAACAGGGATGCCAACCCAGGTGGTCTCACTTCCAAGTCTGTGTCCTTAGCCCTGGCACCACAGACTCCTACATCTCAGGGGGTTGGGGGGAGATATTTCTCTTTAAGAATTACTCTCCATCCTGTAGCTCCCCTTTTAGAAGGAGAATAAAAAGAAACAAAATAGGCTGGAAGCTCAAAGGGAAAAGATATCCCCAAGGCACCGTGAAGTGCCCGTCTGACATTCTGGAGTCTCTTTAGAGTAAATCCTTTTCCAGTGATTGCTTTTTCCCATTACTGGCCTGGAAAGTGGTTAGACAACGCTATGGTGTGTGCCCAGTGTGGATTCTGCTGCAAACTGATTGTCAGACTGTGTCTCTCTTCTCTCCCCATCCTGTTAGTTCTGAGCTGGAAAACGACCCACTCACCAACAGCCCTAATGCCCACCTCATCCCCTTGGAGGACCCAACTCACAGCGGCCACTTCCATCATTGAAACAGCTGTCAGAGAAGCAGTTTCCAACAGTTTTCCAAACACCTTCCCTTCCAAGGAGCATGCCATTGCAATGCCCCCATCCCCAGGGAGGGAGGCAGTGGGTACCGTGCAAGGAGAGAAGACCCGGCTCTCTGTCCAGCTCTGCCGACCATTAGTTGTGTGGCCTTGGGCAAACGGTTTAACTTCTCTGCATCTCAGGCGCTTCATCTGTAACCTGAGGGAGAGAGCCAGGAGGGAACTTCTTTTGTTAACATTGATGTAGTTAGGAAAGATCTTTTAAAATCTGCTCTGCTAGGTTCTTCTGTGTCCACTTGTGTCCAAAGCAAAGTAGCTGAGAGGCTCTAACCCCGGCAGTGGGCTCAGGGGTCTGTTAACCAACCAGGGGCTGGTGGGAGGCAGCTATTCCGTCTCTCGCTCTCTTCTCCACCACACCACACACCACCCACACCACACACACACCACAACCATACACACACACCACCCACACCACACACCAGCCACACCACACACACCAGAACCATACACACCCACACCACATGTACCACACATACACCATACACACCATACACACATCACACATACCACACCACACACACCAAAACACACACACACACCACACACACATCACAACCATACACACATACCACGTACACCACACCACACACACCACACACATACACCACACCCATACCACCACATGACATACATATACCACACACACCACACCACACACTCCAAAACACACACACACTCACACACCACACACACACACATCACACACACACCACACCCATACACACACACCACATACACCACACCACACATACCACACCACACACACACCACACCACACACATACTGCACACACACACCACCACATGACATGTACATACCACCCACACCACACCACACACACCAAAACACATACACTCACACACAACATATACACATCACACATACCACACATACACACACCACACATACCACCACACCAGATACACACACTACACACACCACACACATACCACACCACACACACGCCACCATACCACATACACACACCACACCATACACACACCATCACACCACATATACACGCCACACATACGCCACACGCTCTCTGCTTCTCTGCCTCTCTCTCAATCTCTTTTTATCATTCCTCAACATGCTTCTTCTACACCTACACACTTCCAAAATTGGAAGTGTAATCTTTGATTCATATGTGGAAAGAGTTTTGGGGAAAATCCATCTTCACACAGTAAAGCCACAAAATGCAGACAGATGCCACATATCGGTCTATGGTTTTCTCCAACTTTCTACAGGAAAACTGGGGTGAGAAATCGCTTTCCATTTCCTACCTCACCTGGTTGTCTCTTCTCCTGGCCACTGACACTAACTAGGTACCCTGCGCAGGGTACCCTCCTCTTTGAACCCTGGTTCTGTAAAACGGGGTTAAAGTGCCTACATATGAAGCTGTTTTGTGTGTTAAAGTTTCAGCGCCTGGCACCATGTCAATTCGTGGCAATTATTCTCTGTAAGTATTAGTGATACTTTGTGTCATGAGGCTCATCGAGAAGGCTCTGGAAGGTGAGTGTGTGTGGTGCTGTCAGCATGGTCAGGCAGGCACCACGGAGCAGGAGCAGACTGCTTCCTCAGAGAGCTAAATGCCCTCCTCTCAGCTTCCTGACTCAGACCCTCGCCAGAGCTCCAGATTTAAAAATGCACAAAGGCTCCTGGGTGGCGAGCAGCAGATGGAATTCAGAATGAGCTTCTTTCTCTTTGTTTGAGGGGTTGCAAGACAAACGATAATGCTGCAGTGATGGGGAAAAACACAGACAGCACCTCACAAACCCCAGGGCGGTTGTCCCGGGGCCTCAGACCCCTGCACTGTTTAAGGACCCAGGTGTGTTATGCATTGCGTTGAGAAGCCCCCCATCCTGAAGAACACATTTTCTTTTACGAGTAAATTAAACAAGTCAGCGTGCTGAATAGCCCTCTAATTCATCAGGAAAACTGGAAGGCAAGCCACAGCAGAAGTAAACAGCCAATCCGGTCCACGCTGCTCTCATTCTGTCAGTCAGAGCTGGTGAGAGGGGTGAATGAAAAGCGCAGTGCTCCCCTGGCTGGGTCCCTGCCCCTCCTTGCTCACAAATTTCCTTTCAGGACAAATGACCTGGAGCAGACCTGTGTGCTATTTTCCATGCCAGTGAAGGAGATAGAGCCATAATGTTTGCATCCACTCGATTCAAGAAAGCAGGACACTGATGTCCCCTCTTATGAGCTGGCGCGACAGCTTGATGGCCCAGCTTGGTTCCCTCCCTGCCAGCCCCATGGAGCGAAGCTCCTGCTTGGCAGAGCCAAGGCCCCTGCACAGAAACAGAACACATGGCCTTGACTTCAGCCAGTTCAGGAGGAGGCAGGGGCGGGCCACATAAATCACTTGTGAAGCCGCTGGCCAGGCTTTCTGCTAAGAATCGTCCCTCATTCCTGTCTTCGTCCTCTGTTTCACAAACTTTTAAAAAACATTTTATTAAGTGGATCTATTCCATGTGCTTTTGGAACCTCAAAATGTGCAGGTTGCTCATTGTAAATTTCCTTCACCCTTCTCTCAAAAGTCATCCCCACCCGCAAGTGGCTGTTTCCTGAATCTGTTCTTGTACCACACACCGTCCACCCACTGCCCCAGGGCGGTGCTGCAGGGACTGTCATCTTTGGACACCACAGTCTACTTAGATTGCGGAGTTAGGGTGTGGGCAGAACGGGGACAATGTTTAAGGAGTCCCTCATAGTCATCAGAAGAGCTCTAAGATGCAATTTCCAATGTAACTCGTGCTACCCTTGATTAGTGCTACAGACTGAATATTTGCATCCCCCCAGAGTTCATATGTTGACACCTAATCCCCAAGGTAATGGTATTCAGAGGTTGTGCCTTTGGGAGGTGATTAGGTCACAAAGGTGAAGTCCAGCTGAATGGGATTAGTGCCCTTATAAAAGAGACCCCACAGTGCTCCCCCGCCACTTCTTCCATGTGAGGACACAGCGAGAAGACAGCTATCTCTGAACCTAGAAGCAGGCTCTCACCAGACACCAAATCTGCCGGCACCTTGATCTTGGACTTCCAGCCTCCAGAATGGTGAGAAATAAATGTCTGCTGTTTATAAGCCACCCAGCCTATGGCCTTCTGTTATAACAGCCTGAACAGACCAAGACAATAAGCAAATCTCAAATCCAATTAAGACATTGCAGCAGCCAGGTCAGTTGTCACAAAAGGCAACCCAGAGAAGGCACGTAGGGGTAGAGTGGAGCAGGGGAACAAGCAGGCAGTGGGCATCAAAGGGAGGAAACCGGTCAAAGCAGCGCCAGGCTCTTTGCCCCTGAGCGAGCATCACACTCACCACAAAGAGAGGCTGCATTAATTGCACGTCGCCTTGCTAAAGATTCACTCCCGGAGTGTCCACAAAAAACTAATGAGCACAATCATAGCACCTCTCAAGAACTTTTCACCTGCCGTGCGCTTTACAAGATTAGCTCATTAATCCACACTGCTCTCCTGTGAAGCTGGTAATTATTATTATGCCCAATTCAGAGATAGAGTGACTGAGCAGAGAGAAAGCAATCGCCTGGAGTCCCTGGTGCCTCACAGCCCTTCTTGTTCTGCGAAGAGAGCACAGGTCTCTGAGCTGCATTATTCCTGTCTTTTATCCCAGTTTCCCATTGATACAAGCATCCCTCTTAAGGGTCAAAAATATCTGGGCTGAATCTTCATGTCATGTAGTTACTGATTAATTCTCCTTTATGGTAGTCATTACCAGAAAAGAAAAGTTATTGTTTACAGCTAAGCTATTGCTAGACTCTTGCTGATGACCCATTCACACTCCAAACCATGAATTATTAATCAACAGATATTTATTGAATGCTTGCCATATTTGAAATCCTACTCTTTGCATTGTACTCAGTGCTAACTTAGTTTAAAAACATCATGTGGGCACCGGCCCAGTGGTGCAGCAGTTAAGTTCGCATGCTCCGCCTCGGCGGCCTGGCGTTCGCTGATTTGGACCCCGGGTGCAGACCTATGCACCGCTTATCAAGCCATGCTGTGGCAGGCGTCCCCCGTATAAACTAGAGGAAGATGGGCATGCATATTAGCTCAGGGTTAATCTTCTTCTAAAAAAAAGAAAAAATAATGTTTTTTTTTTTTGTTGTTGTTGTAATGTCACTTAACCTAAATATAGTGAATTCCTGTAGAATATGTAATTAAAATAAATATTGCTCCATATTCTCCCTGCCCCAGCTCTGGCTTCCTCTAGATTTCATTGACACAAGAAAGAACTAATCATTTGATACTGTAATCTATTAACAATGTATCAAGTCTTGGAAAAGATAGGACCATTTAGCCCATCCATGGCTCTGAAGTTTTTCCACAGCCACTTCCACTAACGGTTGAAGCAAGTAGGGCTCCCTGCCCTTGGTTCCAAAAGTACAGCAGGTGAACACCTGGGGGCATATTCCTTGTGTCAAGGCAGTAAGAAACCTCTGGTGAACCATGCTCCAGCTTTCTAGGGTGTCTGCTCCTGTCTAAGATTTGGGAGGTAGAAGTCAAGGAAATTACCTGGTAAGTAATTTAAAAGATTAGTTTTCTAATAAAACAAGTAAGGTCATATTATAGAGTTAAATTCAAGCTGAGGCCTTAAACAAATGTCAAACTCGTGGCCCACCTTCAGCTGGCTCACTGCTGTGAGATGCTAAGAAGATGCAGTTGAAGGGATGCTGGGAGTCTCAGCTAACATATCATTTCTCTGTCTGGCTTGGGGGTGATCTCAGCCAGCACTAGAGGGAATCTCAGAAGGGCTCTGGGTTAGCTTTACAGGTCAGAGATCAAAGATGCCAACTAGTGTAGCCATCACCGCCTGCAGTGTTAAGCTTGGATGTCAAGTTTACGGGTAGCAGAGACAGGGTGGATATATGTCGGAAGAAAACAGAGAGATGCATGGCAGGGTGTCAATCTAGATATATTTTGTGGGAGTTGGAGTGGCTGCTCCTGAGGCCATGACCTTCATAATCCAGTGGGATGGTGCCAGAATCTGATCAGATGGGTCTGGGTTCCAATCCTGGCTCTACCACTTATTATTTGGATGGGGCACTTAACATGTCTAGAGCCTCAGTTTCTTCCTTTCTCAAACAGATTTAGTGTGGTAGTGTTTCAAGGGATGGTGG